GCAAGGCGTCAGTCAGACCATACCTAGAATATTATGAATGGTCATGGTCCCTTTATTTAAGGAGGGATATACTAGCATTTTAGAGGCAGTTTAGAGGGGCTTCACTAGGTTGATGCTGGGTATGGAGGGATTATCTTATAAGGAGATGTTGCATAGGTTGGGTCTGTACTCTTTGGAGTTTAGAAGAATGAGAGTTACCCCTTATTGAAACCCTGTAAGATTCTTAGGGAGTTTGATGGTGTTGTTATGGAGAGGTTGTTTCCTCTACTGCTGAGAACTTGGGAGGAATTTCTTCATACACATGGTTGTTATGATCTGGAACGCATGGAATGAAAGTGCAGTGAAATCGGATTCCATCTTAATTTTCAAAAGGCAATTGGACATGTTCTTAAAGAGAATCAACTTGTAGGCTTATGTGGAGAAAATGGGAATTTGGAACTAAATTGGAAGCTCTTTCCAGGAGCTTTTTCTGTTAAGTACGATTTTATGGTTTCTATAATACAGGGAAGGATTTGATGAGCAACAGACAGACTTTTGAGTGCTAAACCATGTGCTTGGATTTTCTTGTGCATATGGAGTTATAACTCCACAATATGTGATTTTTTTAATCAAGATCAGGACATTGTTCTGATTGATTGACCTGCCTTTGTGTTGGTCAAGGAATAGGCTGCAGCAATAGGTATGGAACCTGCAGCTAGGTTGGGAGCAAGGGGCTACAGGTTGGCCAATCTTTGATTTTTACTCCTGGCCCACAAGCAGTGCTGCAAAGATTTGTCCCCAAGCTGTGCTCACCTGAGTTAAATTGCATGAATTCCCCAGGACTCAGAAGTTAGCCAGTTACCACAGAGCAGTAGTTTCAAGGGAATACACTGAGATAGAATCCCTAGTTAGTGACAGGCACCAAAGGAAGACTCTAGTCAGTATAGGAGTAGTAGTGAGAAAGAAGGCTCCTTCATCATTGAACAATAAGGGTGGTGGTACTCAGCCAGTTCAACAAGATATAGTGAGGAAGTAACCCTAATTAGTGCAGATCACAAATGGAGGAATGCTGCATACTCACACTGCACTGCATTATTCTAGCTTTAGGTGTTCGGCATCAATGGCAAGGTAAAATGGGGTGATGTAGTTTCACCTACACTCTTCAAATGTCTGCTGTAGTATCTTTGTTACTGTTGGATCGAGTGAAGTTGCGTCCCCGTAAGAGATTATTAGCCTCTTCAAACATCCCGAGAATGAGAGAGCCTGTCACGGCTCAGCATTGCTCACCCCTCACAATGAGCCAACTCTTTGCAAATAGCATCATACATCATGAATCCTTGAACCTTGATGACGTTGACTGCCGCCACTATTGTGCTTTAATGTGAACTACACGGAAGCCAAAAGCAATGTGCAGGAATTGTGGTAGGACATGCCCAGAACAAATTATCCACACTTCCACCTACCCTGTGAGTGAGAATATGGATTCACTGATGAATTCACACATCTTTGCAGGCAAAGTTTCATTCTGTCTGTTAGCTTTTCAAGAGAGAGCACTGCCATTCAAGGCTAGAAGGTATTTAATGGGAAGTTCAAATCTCCACTCTCCTTCACAGCACAGTGATGTGCTGACAGGAGCAGCACAAAGCATTGCCTCTCTCAGGTTAAATGCTGACCAATAGGATACTTAAGCGGTTCAGGGCAATGCAGCAGTGCAAGTGAACTCAAAAACATGAAAGGTTAACCGGCAATGAAAGAATGAGAAGAAAGTGCCTCAGAACTGTTCCCATCCTGCTGTCTGTTATGAGAGGCTGCACTGAACAACATTTGGATATCTTGTTGGTTGATGCCTTAGTTTAACTCCATGTGATGTTATTGCTATGTTTCACTGATGGCTGCTTTCTCCTGAATGGTAAGGAAGACCTGTAGAGAGTAGATACTTGAAAGTGGGATCACAATCATGCAATCATATTGGTAAAAAGCATTTATTCAGCAATAGAAAATTTCAATGACTGTAAAATTATCCAGGTCCACATGTACTTTGAATAGACCAGAGGCTGTTTGTCATGTATCCAACAGAAAGCTACATAATAAAAGAAAGTCCATACATTGCACATTCATTCTGTAACTGGGTTTCAATAGGCTATGTCTGTGAGATTGACAATAAATAGCTCTACAATGGTTTCTTTGACGTCCCTCCCCATCAATGCCCTGATTCTCATCCTCTTCATCCTCAGAAGATTGCTGTAGATCCCCACTTTCTCTGCACCAGGACATCCTCACTTTGTCAGCTCCAGCTATGAAAAGTACAACATGCCTAAATGAAGCAGCACGCCATTTCTAGGCTATACTGCAAAATCCCACCAAAGCAGTCCAGGCATTGAAACTCACCTTAAGGATGCCAGTGGTCTGTTTCACAATAGCATTGATGATCAAATGTGGGCCGAACACTGATAGAATGGAAGCATTTTAGGAACATAACAACAGGAGTAGGTCATTCAATCTGTTGAACCTGTTCTGCCATTCAATGTGATAATGAATGATCAAATATTTCAATACCTTTTAACCACCCCATCCCATTTTTTACTGTTGAATGCTGTAGGTCAGTGAAAGGGTGTTCTGAAAGCAACAGGGGTACAGTCTATAGTACCCAACCCCTAGAGGATTGTGTCAATGTTGGAGAACCCAGTGCCTGGACGGCTTGACTCTCTTCATCACAGGAGAAGTATATAAACTGGCACAATCTGGAGAAAATGGCATTGGTGACATCCCTGATGTCTTTGTGATTTAAGGTTTGGGAAATGCCATGCGGGTCCTCAAATACTGCGTTTTGATCAAGCTGCTAGTGTAAAAATGAAAGGAAGCTGTAACCTTGATGGCCACAGGATGGGATGACCGGTCACTCCTTCTGAGCGCAAATCCCACTGCAGAAAATGACAGCAAAGTCAGTATGTGGAGTGTCTGTCTATTCACCTCTGCCTCCCTTGGGGGAGCTTCCGCCTGCTGCCTTTTTCTGTTAGGTTATGCAGCAGTTGCTAGAGGTTGCTCTTCCTTCTGGGCTTGCTGAGTATGTTGTAGTTGCTCTCTCCTTCTACACTGTCTTCACCTGTGTACCAAGGTCACAAGTAGGACAGCTTGTTAACATCTAATTTATATTTATTTATTTGACATGACAAGGAATGCAAACTATGTAATGGTCATGATTGCTTGAGGTTGTAATTTTTTATGTTCATTCTTACAGGTGGATGACATACTGATCACTTACAATTTAATGCCAGATAGGTGGAATAACTGAATCAATGGCTATATGTTAATACAGCTGTCCCTAGCAGGGTCTCATATTTCAAAGAATTATAGTCCATCCCTGAAGACAAAACCAATGATTTACATTGTCCACTCTACATATGGTGGCAGCCTCTTGTTATTACAGATTTGAGTTTGAATAAAAGATGGTGAGGTTTCAGTTTTATGGCCCAGTGAGTGACTTTAATACTCTACCTGAAGTGCAGGATTATCTCCCCATTCTTCATGTTTCCTTTTGAGTTGCTGCTCTTGGGTTCCAGATGACCTTTCAGCCTTTATTTTTCCCTTTAAATCACAGCTCTTTTGTCCCCAAATTACTCCCTGTGATCATGACTTTGTGAATTGCCATGCCCTCATTGGCCATACACTCTCTCCATGTAGAGGCCAGAGTGAGGGTCACTTGTGAGAACTTCTCCTGCAGATTCCCCTCTGATGCTCTATGAAATCCCACCCTTCTACCCTGAATTACCCCTTTCACTATAAGCATTCCCTCAGGGTATAAATCATAAGGGTCCTTGGGCTCCAAAATGAAATTGTGAAGGACTGAACTGGTAGGTGAGTTATCCTGTGAATGGCCACGAAGATGCGGTGAGGCAATGCCAACTTGTGTGGACAAAATATGGGGGGGAGCTGTGCCCATGGAGCATACAGGGAAATGGTAGTGAGTTTCTGAAGGCCCGGAGAGGGAATAGGTGATTTGCTGTCATTAGGCAACTGCTCTGACTTTCATGATGAGGATTGGCAGCATCTAATTTCTCAGGTATGCTACGGCCAGTTTGAAGCAGTGTGGAAGTGAGTTGAGATTAGCTAATAATGAGAAACAATTGCATGGAAATAAAGTAGTTACCACTCATTAGCAAGATTCAAAATTCACAGTGAAAATCAGAATTTTTTTTCTCTGTGTTGAGAATCTGAATTTTCCATTCTTGCCAACTTTTCCCAACTTTCTTGATAATGCAAGAAATTACACCCAGTGTATCCAATTCTGCGTACTGCACTTTAGGCAGGATACATCAGAAATGGTGCATGAAAGGTTAATGAGAATGGCTCTCAACGAAACTGATAAACCTCAGATGCAAGCTCAGATTGGAGAACCTGGATTTGTTTCTTTACAGAAGAGAAAGCTGAGATGATATTTCATACTGTGTTATACCTATGAGGAATATAGACAGGGTGGATAGGGAGTCTGTTTCCATTGGTTGAAGGGTTGAGAAAAGAGGCCGATTGGTAAAAGAAGCAACCGTGACCTGAGGAAAAAACATTTAGGCAGTGAGTGGTTAGGATCTGGAATCTACCATCTGACAGTTGTGGAGGCAAATCCAAGCAGACTTTCTAAAGGGAATTGAATAAGGACCTGAAGAGAAAAGAAAATGCTGGTCATGAGGGAAAGGGCTGGAACCTGGTTATTAATGAACTAATCTTGCAGAGACAGCACATTCACAACAGCTGTAATGGCCTCCTTCTGTGCTGTATCTATTTTATGATTACGTTCTACAATATCTTGCAAACAGGTTAAATACGAAGGTTTCAATCCTATTAGAGTATATAAATGGCCAAACCATCTCCAGGTGGAGATTGAAAATCAACTTTATGACTCTAATTGAATCATAATTCTAATTGCAATAAAGCTTTAGAAGAGCTGTGTTAGTGATGTTGACTCTCTATGCAGGCTCTAATTGTTTGTAACTATGATTTCTGATTTTCAGTTTAACTTTCCTCACAATCTGCAGCTCTTGGAGGTGCAGCCCACTTGGTAAATTTCCAAAGCTTGGACGCAGTTGCAGGACTTTTGATGGCTCAACAGTTTTACAATTGCCAAATGGCTGGATTTTCAATCCCAAATGCAGAACACAGGTATTGAGCTTCCTAGAGCAGATTGTCCAACAGAATTTGAAACTGGGATTTACACACTTTGTAATATGAAGTGATGAATCTGCAGTAAACTTTGATGGAAAAGAAAGTTGTAACCAAATGTTTGTAATCCAATTTAATTCCCTGAACATATTTTTGTTCCCATTTCCGAATACATTCATAACCTGTCTTCATAAACTAGTTTTATATTGTTTTAATGTAGTAAAGTATGATTTTGTGAAATTGATTCCATGTGTTCATTACAAAATGCAGATGTAACTGGTAATCTTTTTAATGCATTTTACAGATCACTGCAATTAATACATTGATGTGCCTTGTTAAGTCTTTGTTTTATTTGTATCTGATGCCAGTGACTCTTCCCAAGAAGCTAGATTTCAACAATAATTGGAACTTCTTGTTTTCAATCTCTAAGAAAGAGATTATCAATTGAATAAATAGATCAATAACTGAGTTAGGTTTGTTTTTCAAAGTGTATTTAATAGCATTATTGTCAGAATTTACATCTGGTGAATAATAGTTATTTGTTTCAAATTGCCATAACATAGTGAACATTTGTAATTGGCTATACCACTAAATGTAATACTGCAGTGCAAGATCACATTAGCCTTTTAAAGTGTTGTTCTACAAATTATCTCTGTAGGATTTTGCTGAAAAGTACGTGATGTCTTAAAATTCAATTGCTGTAAATTGTCACTTAATCTTGAAATTATTGCAAATCTTGAATGAGGCTCAGCTGGTAGTAAACTTGCTTTTGAATGATGAAATTGTAGAGTCAACCCCATCAAGGATTTGAGCATATAATTTAACAGTGCCACTCTGGAAGTGCAGATTTGTGGTGCTAAGTGGTTAATAAGATGGTAACTGAGTGCTAGTTCTGGTGCTTTGGTGCACATTAGAGGTTCCTTCATATAATTTGACATGTTTTCCTGTTGCCTTGATGAATTTGGCTTCCCTGGATCAGTTGCTGGTCAAAAATATACTTCCTGGTCATTTATTTAGTAGAATCTCTTTTTGGGACATTGCTGTGCACAAGAGATTTGCATTTTGGGGTTTGGATCTCATGCAAATGTTGATAGTAAACTGCTGCTGCTTGTTGGTAAGATATTGTCTCCTACCCTCATTGTGTTGGAGGGTGGGTCAAGGTCTCAAGAAGGGAGCCATTCTTAAGTAGAGCAGCTCTGAGTCAGAAGACATTTTGTGGACCAGGAAAGGGTATTTCTTGTTCCTTCTAACGCTATAAGAATTCAATTTAAAATATATTTGGCAGTTTTATAAACTGTCTCCAATAAATAACTTAGAGTGTCTCAAATTATGGCACATAATCCTGGTACATTTGACTTCCAGTTCCACACATTTTTACCTGAAATTTGGAAAAAAAAATGCCAAGGTATCTCTTTATAATTCATCGTGAGTCTGTAATGTCAGCCTACTATTTATATAGACGTCACACTAATAGGCAAAATCTAGCAGGTTTATGGGCCAGGGCAGGGAAAGCAGGTACAACCCTTCCCTACCGCCGTCCCTCAGTCCTGACCTTTCCACAATTTTATGGTAGGATGGACATAGCCCAGGCCGACCCATCTGCCCTTGCCCTAGTTGAGGCCCTTAGTGGGCTGTTTCCTGCCCTCTTTTGCTTTTGAAATTATCAGAAAGTGTTTAGGGGTGGCAGAGAAATGGAACATCTGGAAAGGTTGTGGGTGCCTCCCTCACTGGCCCCCTTTCCACATTTCCCAACATCTACCCACTGATGGTTCTCCTTTCACCTCTGTTCCCTCCATCAAGATACCTCTCTCTTCCCACCTCCTCTGGCCTCACCTTCCCATCCCACCTCAACGCCACTTGCACTTACCTGGTCCTGGATTCTGGGGCTTTGAACTTCTTGTAGTGCCAGCCCAGTCCTATTTCAGAGCTCTCAGAACACACACAGCTGCTGGCCATTCTGATTGGCTGCCAGCTGTCTGAGGTGAGACTTCCTCCCAAATGTTGGTGGAAGTCCTGTTTCCTGACAAGTTAATATTCCCTATATGGCTGTGAGGCAGGAAGACATTCCCCGCTGAATGCTTATGCAGCAGGGTGGGAAACCCCATCATCTAAAAAATCCAGGCCAATGAGTTTAATTGTTATTTTAATGAAGAGAGTGGTGAAGGACATAATTAGGTCTGTTCAGGCAGAGGCTTTATTCAAGATTTCAGGGTAAGGAAATGAGAAGAACATACGTTCACTAAGCAAGCCTTCCAAATGTGTTTTTTATAAGTATTTGTTTATGAGCTTTGGTCATTGCTGACAAGACCTGCGTGTATTGTCCATCCCTAATTACCTTTGAGAATGTGGTTCAAGAGCAGCCATCTTGAACTCCAAGGGAGTTCCAGGATTTTGACCTAATGCAAGTAAAGAACATTGAAATAGTTCCAAGTCACCACTACATCTGACTTGGAGGGGAATGTACTGGTTAGTCTTGTTTTCCTAAATTCTAGAGGTCACAGGTTTTGAAAATGTTTTCAAAGGAACCTTGGCAAGTAGTTGCAGTGAATTTTGTAGATGTATATCCTGCTGCCACTGCACCATGGAGGAGGATGGGTATCAATCGCATGGTTTGCTTTTGCTCTGATGTTCTTAGAGTTTCTACATCACAGGAAGAGCCCCTTTAGCCAATTATCAAACATCCATCTGTTCTAATCCCATTTTTCAGCATGGCCACTGGCTATTCTATATGATATTTCATGAGTTCATCTAAGTAGTTTTTCATTGTTTTAAGTGTACCCATTTCTGTCACCTTTTTAGTCAGTGTGCTCCAGATACCCACAACATTCTTGGTGAAAACTCTTTCCTTAAATCCCCTTTAAACTTTCTGCTCCTTACCTTAAAACTGTGCCCCCAGTTATTGACCCTTCTAATAAGGGGAAACGTTTATTCCTGTCTAACCCTGTCTATGCTTCTCAGAACTTTGTACGCACCCCCTTAGCCTTCTTTTTCTAAAGTGAACAACTCCAGACTATCTTAGTCTGTCTACATAGCTGAATTGGTCCAGCGCCGGCAACATCCTGGTGAATCTCTTCTGCACCCTCTCTTGTGCAATCATACCCTTCCTACAGTGAGATGACCAGAACTGCACAGAGTAATCCAGCTGTGGTCTAACTAATGGTACATATAGTTCCATATAACCTCTGTGCTCTTGTATTTAATCTGTTGAGCAATAAAGGTAGGTATTCCATATGCTTTCTTAACCAACTTCTCTATTTGTCTTGTTTTCTTCAAGAATCTATGGCCATGTACAGAAGGTCCTCTGTACTTCATTGGGTCTTACCACGTGCTCCCTTGTCTTATTAGTCCTCCTAAAATGCATCATCTCATACTTTAGGATTAAATTCTATTTGCCATTGTTCAGTTCATCTGACCAACATGGCTATATTATCCTGTAGTTTAAGGTTTTCTTCCTCGCTATTTATCACCCCACTAATTTTCATTTCATCTGCAAACTTCCTGAACATACCTCCTACATTCACATCTGGATCATTACTGTAAACAACAAACAGCAAGTGACCCAGCACTGATTGAAATAGTATGCCTCTGGACACTGATGTCCAGTCACAGAAACAAGATTTGACCATCACACGCTGTTTCCTGTCACTAAGCCTATTCTGGATTCACTTTGCCAAACATCCCTGGATCCCTTGGACTCTTAGCTTCTTAATCAGTTTGCGATGCAAAACCTGGTCAAAAACCTTGCTGAGGTCCATGTTGACTCTCTCAGCCATGTTTCTGTTATGTCTATAGTATCCCAGTCCCCAGAGCCAATCTATGCTCTGAGCTCATCTGCCTTACCAGTCAGGACTCGTGCGTTGAAATAAATGTACTTTAAACCAGAAGCCTTTTCCCTCCTTTACTGTGCCCCTGGCTATCCTGAATAGTAAACTTGTTCTCGATGGCTAATGTATTTTCCCTTGACTTCTCGATGGTCTCTCCCTTACTCAGAGTCCCACCCCCCCACCAAACTAGTTTAAACCTTCCCATGTAACACGAGCAAATCTCCCCGTGAGGATATTGGAACCCCTCTGGTTCAAGTACAACCCGCCTCTTTTGTACAGGTAATCCCTACCCCAGAAGAGATCCCAATGATCAAAGAACTGAAATCTCTGCCCCCTACACCATCTCCTCAGCCACACATTCATCTGGCCTATCTTTCTATTTCTATCCTCACTGGCACGTGGCACTGGGAGTAATCCGGAGATCACTACCCTTGACAGCCTGCTTTTTAACTTTTTACCTAACTTCCTATACTCATTTCGCAGGACCCCATCCCTTTGTCTACCTATCTCATTTGTACCGATGTGCACAATGACCTCTGGCTGTTCACTTTCCCCCTTCAGAATGTTCAGCAACTGCTCAGAGAATCCTTGACCCTGGCACCCACCATCCTGGTGTCTCTTCCGTGGCCACAGAATCTCCTGTCTGTCCCCTTCACAAATGAGTCTCCTATCAGTATTGCTCCGCCTGGTGTACCCTTTTCCTCTGAACCTCAGAGCCAGTCACAGTGCCACTGACCTGACTGCTGCTGTTAGCCCCTGTAAGGTCGTTTCCCCCTCCAACAGTATACAAAACAGTATACCTATTCTTGAGGGGAATCTGCCTCACCCCTTTACCTCTTCTGATGGTCACCCAGCTATCTGCAGCTTAGGAGTGACCACTTTACTATAGCTCTTATTAATGATATTCATCAACCCAGATGATCCTGAACGCATCCACCTCCAGCTCCAGTTCCCTAACGTGGCCTGTCAGGAGCTGCAACCGGGTGTACTTCTCACAGGTGTGGCCACCAGGGACACTGGAAGTCTCCCTGATCTCCCACATCCTGCAAGAGGAGCATGCCATTACCCTAATTGTCATCCCCACTACCTTCAGACTAGACAGAAAGAAAGGAGAGTTAAAGAGCCCTTACCTGTACCCTTGCTCAGCCTCTACATGCAGAAACCTCTTGAACAAAG